TTCGCAGGGTGGCAGGGCACACCCTTATAGACAAGGTGCGGAGCTCTGTCTCCCGGGAGGAGCTCAGAGTAGAGCCACTGCTCCTCCACATCGAGAGAAGTCAGCTGAGGTGGCTCAGGCATCTGTTTCGGATGCCTCCTTCATGTACATATACCTAAGGAGGTGTTCCAGGCATGTCCCACAGGGAGAAGACCTCGAGGAAGACCCAGGATATGCTGGAGGGACTATATCTCTCAGCTGGCCTGGGAATGCCTCGGGACCCCACCCGGAGGAAGTGTCTGGGGAGAGGGAAGTCTGGGGTTCTCTCCTAAAACTGCTGTCCCCCCGCGACGTGGCCCCGGAAAAACGGTTGAAAATGAATGATTGAATGAAAGTTGTCAAAAATGAACAAATGTGAAAATATATCACCACTTCACCTCAAATTTAGTTGCATTTATTGTACAACCAAGTCAACTCAATCAATTACATGAGCCAGCCAACCCAGCAGACACATGAACGACCTACAACGTTGAAACAACCTTGAAGTAACGTTTAATGTCAAACGACTGAAAAACAACCTGCACATGACAACCTACGTTGAAATGTGGCTGTAAAGAGCAAGTTGTTGTCGTTTCGACGTTGAAACAACGTTTAAATAGGGTTAAAAGGTGAATGATTTGAAATAGGTTAACAGAAACGCTGTTATAAATTAACCCTGAGAAGCTGGAAATATTTGCACAACAGCAGAGGAAGAAGAAAGCATTAAATTATACCTTACCGTCACATCCCTTATCTAAAATGCAGTCTGTCTCAAATGAGGAGGCATCTTGAAGTAAATAACATAAACAAAAGAGGAGGTTACTCAAACATTGCACGAACACAGCAAAACAATAATCAAAACCATCTTGTGAAATGCTTCATAAATCACCAGAGTCAGCTTTAGTCCACTTAAGAGTGAGAATTAAAATAAATAAACACTTTTTACACATGTTCATGAATATTAGTTGATAAAAATGAACCGAGAAACATCAAGAATCGACGATACACAACGCGAATATTAAACCAATTATCACCTGTGAGGCTCAATCAGCGTTAATTAGCTGAGTGCAGTAGTTCAGAGTTTCACCGCTGGAGGCCGACAGAGACTGCGGATCTCTAATAAAACTGCACGCCCTGTGGGTCGAGATTGCACACGAATCCCATGCTTTACTCAACAAATGTTACATGCTTGTAAAAGTCTGTTATTTTATAATCACCCAGAAATCAGTTTTCCTTTAGTCACACAGGGCGTTTAAACATGTTTTTGGTCATAACTATGTTTAATATACAAAGAATTATAACATTATAAATGGTTTTATTACTAACTTTAGTTGTTTACCAATGGTATTTCATATTAAGGAAATTAAACATTAATTTTAAAGAAATCAATGCATGTGTGATCACTTTTTATTTCTATTTTTAACATACAACAATTTATAATTAAAAATATCTCAGCATAATATAGTTTGTTTTCAGATTAAACAATAAATGTATAAGTATCTCATTAATAATAATATATAATTTACTACACAGACACACACATGCATTTTGTCTTGATAATGCCGCATTGTTTCTTTAAAATACTGCCAGATAAATCAAATGTAAATCCTGAATCACATTACAAATTCAATTAAAGATAGCATGAGCTGCTTACCATATTTATTCTTTGTTTTGTGTGTATTTCTTAAAACAGTGGGATGTAATCAGAGTTGCATCAGAACAATGGATATTACACATCTGACATTCAGAGTCTCAGAAAGCAATTTGTATAGAACAAAAATTGAATGCACACATAATTGCCACCCAGAGCAATCTCAAAACCTCCAGAAACACAAAAGACGCTCGCTGGCATGGGATAATATTTATTGAATAATCATACATTACTTCACATTGCTTTTCTGCTGTGACATGTTCCACACGGCTGCTGCTGCTGAATTCAAGAAATGTTCTTGATAACGGTTCCTATGGCAACAAAATGTAAGTGCAAAAAGATTACGACGTAATCAAGAGTACTGCATGACAAACTCCGGCCACCAAAAATATGAAGGAATCCCATTTATGCCGTGTGACCTCATTCGAGGATGCTTTATGTATGATATGCATAATCACAATCAGGGCTTGACATTAAACTGATGAAATGAAAGGCTTATTATTAGTTACTCCAAACCAGGGGTGCCCAAACTTTTTGTTATGAAGGGCCAAAAATTGATTGAGATCTAAGTAGGTAAATATACCAAACTGCACTTAAAAATGCAGTGTTCCACACAGATGATTAGGTTTTTAATTCAGTTAGGTTAACATGTTTAAGGGGATTACACATAAAACAATTAAGCTGTCCCCCCAATCATCTCAAGAATTGGGTTATTCCCGCTCATTAAGTAGGTTGAAAAAGCAGCAATATATAAAGATTTAAAGACTTGACTAGGATAATTAGGCAAGTTAATGTAATTAGGCAAGTTATTGTATAACAGTGGCTTGTTCTGTAGACATCTAAAAAAAATCTCCAGAAGAAAAAATATTATAGGAAATACCGTGAAAACTTTTACATAAGTAGGTTGAAAAAGCAGCAATATATATATATATTTATATTTTGAGTGTTTAATATATAAAAGTTTCCATGACTAATTTCTTAATTTATTTCATATTATTAATAATTAATAAATAAATAGACTTAATCATATTAAATAATGCAATAGATTTTTAAAAACATTTTATAATGAACTTATTAAAATAAAAACATAATTACTTTGTTTAACACAATGAAGATGCCAAATACACAAGTAAAGCTGAACCTGCCTTCTGCATGGTCTGCTATCCATCAGTCACAGTGTATTTTGTAAAATCTGAATAATTCACAGCCTTTTTCAGTTTTTTTTTTTTTTTTTTGTAGCTCAACAACAAAACAAACTACCAAAAAAATCACCTCCCTTCTCAGATGGGATGGTGGGCCAAACTTGGCCCTAGTTTGAGCATCCCTGTTCTAAACATGTTTTTTTTTTTTTAATCAGATATTTTGAAGAATGTTGGAAACCAGAAGCCATTGACTTCTGTAGTAGTAAAAAGGAAAATAATGGAGATCAATGGCCTCTTCTTAAAAAATATCTATAATACTAAATATATATAGTTGGAGTCAAAATGAATTATTATTATTATTAACTAACAACTAATTTCTTTTATCTTTGCCATGTCGACAGCACATAATATTCTACTAGATACTTTTTCAAGATAGTATTCAATTTAAAGACTTAACCAGGTTAATTAGGCAAGTCATTGTGGCTTGTTCTGTAGACATCTAAAAAATATTGCTTAAGAGGGCTAATAATTTTGACCTTAAAATGGCTTAAGTAAAAATTAAAAACTGCTTTTTTCTAGCCGAAATAAAACAAATAAAATGATCTCTAGAAGAAACAATATTATAGGAAATACCGTGAAAACTTTTACATAAGTAGGTTGAAAAAGCAGAAAAAAATATATATATTGAGTGTTTAATATATAAAAGTTTCCATGACTAATTTCTTAATTTATTTCATATTATTAATAAATAAATAAACAGTCTTAATCATATTATATAATGCAATAATTATTATTTTTTTACATTTTATAATGAACTTATTAAAACAGAAACTTAATTACTTTGCTTAAAACAATGAAGATAAATGAAGTAAATGAAGTAAAGTTGCACCTGCCTCCTCCATGGTCTGCTATCCATCAGTCACAGTGTATTTTGTAAAATCTGATTCTTTCACAACCTTTAACGGAAACATTTTCAGTTTGCTTTTTCGTAGCTCAAAAATAAAACAAACTATGAAAACTACCACCCTTCTCAGATAGGATGGCGAGCCAGATTAAAAGTTACCAAGGGCCAAGTTTGACCCGCTGGCCCTAGTTTGGGCATCTCTGTAATAAACATTTTTTTAGCAGATATTTTGAAGAATGTTGGAAACCAGTAGCCACTGACTTCTGTAGTAAAAACAAATCTATGGAGATCAATGCTCTCTTCTTACAAAATGATCTATATACATAATATTATATACAGACAGTTGAAGTCAGAATTAATTATTATTACGGATGCTCTGATCGATCGGCCGAAGATTGGTATCGGCCGATAATCACATTTCATGACTCAATAGGTACTCGCCAATCTGGCTGATCTCATGAACCGATTGCAGGTGTTTGTTGATGAGTTTACAAGCATAGGAAGACACACAAGCGCTCCTGTATATTATACATTAGCCAAGGTAAAATGAAAGAATGAGTTATTTTCTGTAAATCAGCCTCAGCCCAGGACATATTCACATCTAAATGGCTTTAATAGACGTGTTTAAGGTTTTACATGCAGCATCCTTCATTTATTCTCTTGCCTTAAGGTTCAAACTTAAAGGTAAAATGTGCTTAATGCATTATAAAGATTGAAGCGTCAGAATCGGTATTCATTATCGGCTGCAAAAATCCTTATCAAAGAATAATTATTAATTACTAATTCCTAATAACGATTTTCTTTTATGATAAGAGCACATAATATTTGACTAGATATTTTTCAAGATACTATTCAGCTTAAAATGACATTTAAAGACTTGGTTAATTAAGTTAGAGTAATTAGGCAAACCGTTTTATAATGATGACTTGTTCTGTAGACAATCAAAAACAATCTAACACTTACGAGGGCTAATAATATGAACATTGAAATGGTTTCATAACTGCTTTTATCCTAGCTGAAATAAAACAAATAAGACTTTCTCTAGAAGAAAAAATATTTTAGGAAATACTGTGAAAAATTCCTTGCTCTGCTAAACATCATTTGGGCAAATAAATTCATAGGAGATGCGAATCATTTAGACTTAAACTCTATTTATAATTTTTGGTGAACTGGCCCTTTGACACCTTGTAAGCAGATATCAGTTGTAGTGTTTAATAACAATGAGTATAAGCACACTAAGTCATAAGCACCATACTAATAAGTGAATGTAGTCACTTCCACTATCCACATTGGAAAGATGGATTTTATTTAACAGGACTTGACAGTAAGGCTTGTTCGGGATAAGTGGATTTTTCTGAAGAGCAAGTGAGAGCCCAGTGCGACAGGTAATCTTCAACATGAAAGAGATTCATTGAGATTTTCAGTCGAGGCTCTTGCTGCCTGTTCGTGTGTGACAGAGACTTTAGATTTTCATGAACATCAAAACAACTGAAGACTAACCTGAACCCTAAACACACAAACAAATATGCTACATTTATAACATCTGATCATTGTCTGCTTAATCATTTTAATGATCAGAGATGCTGTTCTCACAAATATCCATCCTCATCATTTGAGTTTTGACTGTTTAGTTTGTCCGATCATCCTCTTGTTAATTAGTGTGATGATCAGGGATGCTTCTTTTACAAATATCCATCCTCATCCTTTCAGTTTTGACTATTCAGATTGGAGGAGTTTTAATATTATTAAGTGACTCACATTTTAGATGCTGTTTTTTTTTTTTTGCGATGAATGGCTGAGTCTTTAAAAAAAGCTACTTGGTTTACTTTCATATTCAAAGGTATGACTGCATTTTAAATGTGTATATTAAAAAGAAATGGTAGATCATAAGCTTATTTTTGCAGTTAATGCACTCATGCTATATTTGAGCTTCATTAATCTGACTGTGAATGCATATTTAAGTGCCATTTTCATTTCATTTTTATTGTATTTTCATAAAAGTATTTAAAAAAATGACGAATTATAAAAGGTTAGGGGAAAATGTCATTTAAGTAAGAAAAAAATGCCCTGACAAGCAAATTTTAGCATGCAATGGTCAGGTTTAATAATAATAAAACAAAATTAGCCACTTGTAACTTTGGAAAACCACTAGGTTAAAAATATTAACATCAAGCCCTGATTGAAATTGAAACTGAATTCAGCATTCTAGCTTATCGAGGAGGAAAAATATGATATGTAATTCACTGCACAGGTCAATACGCCTTTAGTCCAAAATACATTCCACAACATTGACGCTTGATAAACAATCAAATTAAAGCACACGATGGAAAACCCTGTGGCTTTTCCTTCATTTAAAATCACTTCTTATGTAAAAATCTGCCATGTTCATGGAACATAGTAGATGCCCAGTCATATTTCATAACAACTCGCAGCATTTGTCCAAAACGCTTTCAGAGGCTTTGCAATCAGTGAAGCAGAACAGAGTCGCAGCGGTCGAGTGGAACGACCCCACATCCCAAAAAATCCCTCTCAGAGATCGAACATCCTGGAATAAATCAAGAACAAACAGGGAAAATGGCGAGAACTTCTGAAATATGCTGCTGTGCCACATGATGAAAATACTATAGTATTTATAGTAAATACTACAGTGTTTACGAACCATACTTTAGTAAAGTGTATTATACTGCATATATTAGAATATCTACAACTCTTTAACGAATACTCCAGCAACACACTGTAGTATTAAATATAGTGAACTGATAAACTGTAATAAATATTGTAGTTTTTACTACAGTAAACTGTGGTGTATTGTAGTATACAATGCACTATAGTTGAAGGAAACTACAGTATTGGGCCATTTGACTATAGTTTTCGTTTTACCATAGCAACTATAGAATCAGCCTGCTTGTTTAAATTACTATAGTTGTTGTGTTACTATAGCAACTATAGAATCACCACATTTGTTTATATTACTATAGTTTTCGTGTTACCATAGCTACGATAGAATCACCTCATTTGTTTATATTACTATAGTTGTTGTGTTACCATAGCAACTATAGAATCACCTCATTTGTTTGTATTACTATGGTTTTCATGTTACCATAGCAACTATAGAATCACCACATCCTTTTAATTACTATAGTTTTGGTGTTACCATAGCAACTAGAATGACCAATTGTTTGTTTATATTACTAGTGGTTGTGTTACCATGGCAACTATAGAACCACCCAGTTTGTTTATTTTACCATAGTTATTGTTTCCATAGTAACTATTAAATCACATTTAATGCTACTGTAGTTGTGTTACCATAACAACAATAGAATCACCATTTCTTTTTAAATGACTAGTTTTAATGTTACCATAGCAACTATAGAACCATTAATTGTTTGTTTATATTACTATAGTGGTTATGTAACCATAGCAACTACAGAATTAGCATGTTTGTTTATATTACTATAGTTGTTGTTTCCATATTAACTATTGAATCAAAGTGTTTTCCTACTATAGTTGTGGTACCATAGCAACTATAGAATCATCACGTCTGTTTACATTTTAGGTGTTGTGTTACCATAGCAACTATAGAATCATCACGTCTGTTTACATTTTAGGTGTTGTGTTACCATAGCAACTATAGAATCATCACATCTGTGTACATTTCAGTTGTGGTGTTACCATAGCAACTGTAGAATCACCACATTGTTTATATTACTACAGCTGTTGTGTTACCATAGCAACTATAGAATTACCACATTTGTTTATATTACTACAGTGGTTGTGTTGCCATAACAACTATAGTATCACCAAATCTGCTTATATCACTACAGCTTTTGTGTTACCATAGCAACTGTAGAACCACCACATTTGTTTATACTACTATAGTGACTGTGTTCATTTAGCAAGTATCGTGAACTAATGCATTAATTCAAGTGCTTTACTAAAGTATGGTTTAAAACACTATCATTTTTTTTCTGTAAGTTATTATAGTACTTTTTCATGTAGGGGAGGTCAGTGGTATCTGCATGTCCAGCCCTGGATGTAGTGGCTTAAAAAGAGTCATATTTGGAGGAGTTGTATCCTAGAGCCCCCTGTGTAAAGCATGGAGGGGAAAAAGCAGTCATTAATCATCTCCTGAGTCTTATTTGGGCTCTTCTGCCTCTCTTGTCCTCCATCATTTGGCTGATGGTTTGGGTCACGCTGTTCTTCTAGGCCCCTTGCAGCTTTTTCTCCAGTCTGTCCAGCTTGGCCAGATTCTCCTTCAGCAGTTTGGAGTCGGGGGAGAGGAGAAGAGCTCTTTGGTAGTACATTCGTGCTGCTGCATAGTCTCCCTAAAACAAAATGATTAATCAAAACAAGGAGGCAAATACTCATGTTACAGTGGCAGGACAAAACACTTGGATCAACCTATCAGGTTAAAACGTCCATCACATCAAGGCATGAATGAGAAATTATGCCTAAAAATAGAAAGTTAAATCAAATAAAATGTGCATCATGACACTTTACAATAAGACCCCATTTATTAATATTAACTCAATTTTAAACGTATTCCTCTTAGTTACTATGAACACTAAAAAAGCTGCATAATATTACAGTAGGCGACAGACCTGAGTAACAATAAAATAAGTTATAAAAAAAAAATAAAAAAAAATAAACAGAAGAAAATGTGTATTTTTCTTACCTGAAGTAAAAAAAAATGCATATAATTATTTTTAGTTAATTCATTAATTAACAACATCATACAGGACATTTCAGTAAAGTGCTACATTCATTTTATTTATGCATTTTCATCAATGATATATAATATTCCTCAGTTAATAAATAAAACATGTATGAACACATTTGAAAATAGATCACATTATTTGGCTAAAATCAGGTATTTTATTTAGTTTTGTATATAATGTAAATGTTTCTTATCGTTATTTAGGTTATGACAGGTTTGTTTTGGAATAATTAGCAACATCTAATAGGAATTTATTATATTAAATAAGCATATTTCCCTGCAAATATAATATTCAAATATAAAACAACTGAAAACAGAAGAGACAACTGACTGAAAAGCAATTATTACAGACAGTTTTGTATAACAAGTACTTGTAGCCTTAAAAAAACAAGATGATTTAATGTGTATTTATTTGCATATTTAACCTAAATGTATTATAGTAAAAATGTATAAATATTTAACCTTCATTCATTCATTTTACTTCGGCTTAGTCCCTTTATTCATCAGTGGTCGCCACAGTGGAATGAACCACAAACTATTCCAGCATACGTTTTACACAGCAGATGCCCTTCCAGCTGCAACCCAGTACTAGGAAACATCCATACACTCTCATTTACACACATACACTACGACCAATTTAGCTTATTCAAGTCACCTATACAACACATGTTTTTGGACTGTGGGGGAAACCGGAGCACCCTGAGGAAGCCCACTCCAACACTGGGAGAACATGCAAACTCCACATAGAAATGCCAACTGACCCAACCTGGACCCAAACCAGCAACCTTCTTGCTGTAAAGCGACAGTGCTACCACTGAGCCATCGTGTTGCCCTATTGTTAAACATATCTTTCATTTTGATTTGTGTACATGCATCTGCGAATACATTATCGTGAAAACATGTCTGAATTCAAAGGCAAACACGAGCCATTTCTTTCATTATGCAAAATGTATTTTTCTTTTGATTTAGCTGTGAAATTTTCCACACAAATATTTAATCAGACCTAAATGTCAGCCGTCATACCTTGATATGCTGAATGCCACCCATATTCATCCAGGCTTGCGACTGCTCGGGTTTGAGCTCCACAGCAAGCTTGTAGCTCTGAAAACATTCGATTAACACGTATTATATACTATAAATGCACTTATCACCAATGATGAATTCAACAACATTAAACCATTGAACTGTTTTGTGCTGTGTAAGAAACATGGTCCATTCAAGCACTGAAAGCGCATTTAGTCTGACTCCAGCGCAATAAAATACAGTAAAAAAAATGAAAGAGACTTTTTGTTCACGGCTTTGTAATTGAGCTTTAAACTGGATAGCATTATTATGTAAACCTAAACCCGTCTTTTGACGTTTGTCTCTTTGTGTTCGAAATAAAAGTAGAGCTAAAGGCCAGATTTAAGCGGGACACCTGGAAAGAGTCCAGAGATTGAAGAATAAAACCAAAATAATCCTTGAGTTCACCGGGAATCTTGAAAAAGACACTTAAAAGGTAAAAGAGAGACACTGCAGGGAATAAAATACATCAATTTTGAGCTTTTAGGATTTTATAAAGTGTTATTTATTAAGGCAAATGTAAAGACAACTACATTGGTAAGTATTTTTCTGTCACTTTATCAATTTGTGTCTGTAGATTTCAATACAAAGCAATTTTCTAAGGCCATTTTCTCAAAATAATAAATAATCAAGCCATAAATCTCAGCCTCAGCAGTTTTTTTCATGTCTATATTCTGAAGGTTTTATAGAAGTCTGTGTTCATACATCATCTGCCTGATTGCATTCATTTTCTTCAACAAAAACTGTCAAAATGTTTTTTTTTTGTTGTATTTTCTGAATCAAAATAAGAGGTAAAAAAGAGAAGAAACCAGAATATTGAACCTGACTTCCATTACACAACGTTGGAATAATTGCACTACATACTGTATGAATGCAAATTAGTGCTTATTTAGAGAAATGACAGCTCATTTACATTTTAAACATGTGCTTTTGGAAAATTTGTAATATAAAAAAATGATCAAAACGAAATTTAATAAACAAAATAAACAAAATAAAACAGAAAATAAAACAAAAAACAAAAACCACCAAGCGAAAAAAGCCCAAAACAAAACGAAAAAAACAAAACAAATTAAATTAAACGAATCAAAAAGAAACAAGAAAACAGAAAGAAAACAAGACTAAACAAAATTGAGCAAAATTAAACAGAACATAAAATGAAAAACAAAAAAACACAAGCAAAAAAACCTGAAATGAAACAAAAACAACAAAACAAGTAACACAAAACAGAACATAAAATCAAAAACGCAAAATTCAAAGCAAAAAAGCTTTAAAAAAACAAACAAAAAAACTAAATGAAACGAAAGAAACCAAACAAAAAATGGCTAAACAAAATTAACAAAACAGAACAAAACAAATTAAAGCAAAATGAAAGAGAACATAAAATGAAAAACAAAAAAAAAACAAAGCAAAAAAGCTTAAACCAAACAAAAAAAGCTAAATGAAACGAATGAAATCAAACAAAAAACAAAAACAAAATTACTACATGAAATGAACAAAACAAAACAAGAAATAAAACAAAATGAAACCAAACAAAAAATGACTAAATGAAATGCACAAAACAAAACAAAATGAAAAAAATTAAACCAAACAAAATTAAAATAAACATAAAACCGAAAACACAAAAGAAAAAAAAAGTCAAATCAAAGCAAAACAACAATACTAAATAAAAAAAAATAAATAGACATCAAAAAATAAATAAATAAATAAATAAATAAAATAAAATAAACCAGCATCTACAACTCTTCATGATTGCGGTTGCTAGATGTCAAGAGTTGAATCCCCCAATGAGACATTTTCACTTTTAACCAAGATTATTTGTATGCCTCATTTGCGGATTTAAACATACTCTTTAAAAAAAACGTTTGCAATTTTTCATTCTGAAAGTCTGGTGGTAATTATTAGATTTGTTTCACCCCTATTGACCTGCAGTGTCTCGCTTTAAGAACAAAGCTTGGGAATGAGGCGCGGTCTGGACTGTTTATATTTGGAGATGAAAGGAGGCGGCTGATGTTCGTCTGACAGTATCAGGGCAGCAGTGAGGAAACCGTGTGAAGAAGGTGAGAGAAGAAGCAAGAATCTCAAACACAGTTACCCGACATTTAATCTCATGTAGTCAGACTTTTGCCATTCAGCAAGTCTGATCCACACAGCAGATTAAGCAAAAGCCGGATTCTTGTTAACATGAAATAAATAACAATCTTTAAAGAAATCTCTTAATTTTTTTAAATTTCACAGGAGAGCTAATAATTATGACTTCAACTTAATATTCAAGATGTGCATTTCTGCATATATAATCTGATCAATTAGCAAAAAGGCTTCTGAGAGGACTGATAAAAACATGAACATGCAAAACAATATAAGCCATCCCATGCAATTAGATCTTTCAGTTCCAGTAAAGGCGATTGTTATTTGTAACATGCGTTAAATGTGAACTGTCTGCAGACAAGCTGAAAACCGATAAACAAGACTATGAGGAATGGGAATATTTGAGGAGCTCTTCCTCACAGTGACAGCTGGAAGTGAGCTTTTACCTGGAAGGCTCGATCCAGCTCGTTCATTTCTCGAAGCTGGTTTCCCATTGAGAAGTGCAGCTCTGCCCTCACCGCAGGCTCTGAAGATTCCTGCTGCAGTGCCGTCTTCAATGCATCCAGAGCCTGAAAAACACACATATTAAAACTCAGCATCTCTTGCAGAGTGACATATTCTGCTTGCTTTCTCAGGAGGTGATTTCTCACAATGAAATTTCTCTTTGAGGCTGAGAGAACCGCTTGTGATAGGAAGCATGAGCATGTGTGATAGGAAGAAATTATATGCAATTTATTCTAGTTCAAGGCGCCTGAGTGTGATTTAATAAAATGTGTTCGTTTTGAACTTGCCGACTGCAGCTGTTCAGCATGGACTGAGGCGGATTGGTAACTAACCCCTATGTCATATAATATGTACATGGATTTTTTTCTTTAGATGAAGATTTAGATTTTTTGATTTTCTGAATCTAATGCAAGTGAGACCAACAAAAAGTCGTCTTTGCAAAACCCAGCAGACTAGTGTTAGTTACCCAAATCTATGATAAAATGTCTGAAATTTATGATAAAATTACTTTATGACTGAGACAACACTAAAATCATTAAACGGAAAAAGATGATATTGAAATGTAGTAAAAACATATAAATTTGTTCAACATCTGACCTAAAAACAAAACGAACCAAACCAACAAAATGAAACCAAACAAAAATATTACTAAACATAAAAACGAAAAACACGAAAAGATAAAACTAAACAACAAAACTATATTAAATTAAACAAATGAAACAACCCCCTCCAAAAAAAGAAACAAAATAGAACATAAATCAAAACTAAACAACATGAATGATCCCAAACAAAATGAACAGAACAAAAAATTTAAAATAAATAAAAAAAACAAAACAAAAGAAAAAAAAAACAAATGAAACCAAACAAAATGAAACAGAAGATAAAACAAAAAACACACAACACCACACAAAAGAAAAACAAATGAAATGAATTAAAACCAAGCAAAACAAAATAGAAGATAAAACAAAACACTAATGAAACCAAACAAAACAAAAGAGAACCTAACGAAAAAGCAAATTAAATCAAACAAAACAAAACAAAATAGAAGATAACATGAAACAAAAGAAAACAAATGAAATGTACATAAAATGAAACAAAACTAAACAAAAGAAATAAAACAAAATAGAAAAAAAAAATTAAACAAATTAGATTAAACAAAACAAAATAGAACAAATTATGAAACAAAACAAAACAAATGAAATAGAACATAAAATTAAACAAAACAAAATAAAATAAACAAACCAAACCAAATAAAACAAAATAGAACATAAAATGGAAAACACAAAATAAAAAACAACAAAACTAAATAAAATGAAACTAATTAAATCAAACAAAACAAAAAGAACAAAGTAAAGCAAAAAAAAAGAAAATAGAACATAAAATGAAACAAAACGAAAGAAAAAAATGAAACCAAACAAAATGAAATAGAACCTAAAACGAAAAACACGAAATAAAAAACAAAACAAACAAAAACAAACAAAACAAAACGACAAAACTAAATAAAATTAAACTAATTAAATAAAACAAAACAAAATAGAACATAAAACGAAACAAAACAAAACAAAAGAAACAAATAAATCCAAATGAAATGAAACAGAACATAAAATTAAATGGGGGGTACATACACACTTGTATTCGTTCATTCATTCATTTTCGTGATTGCTTAGTCCCTTTATTAATCTGGGGTTGCCACAGTGGAATGAACCGCCAACTTATCCAGCAAGTTTTTATGCAGCGGATGCCCTTCCAGCCGCAACCCATCTCTGGGAAACAGCACTTGTTTTCAAACAAGGTAAAATGAAACAAATGAAACATAAATAGAACATAAAAGGAAACTAAACAAATCAAAACGACTAACAAAATCAATGAAACCAAAAGTAAAATGAAACAAAAAATGAAAAAACAAAACAAACAAAATTAAACTAAACTTAAACAGCATCCACATTGCGGTTGCCAGATGTCAGGAGTTGAAACTCCCTAATCAGACATTTTCACTTTTAACCAAGATTTTGTGTTGCACATTTTGTATAGATACTTCATACAGTATTTATTTATCTATATATTCATTTCTAGAGTTTATAGAAGACTGCTGGCATCTGTTAATTTAGACTACAAAGATATGATTAGTGATTATTGTTTAATAGAGTGTGAGTGAGCACTTATTTTTGTTTCGTAAAAATTTCTACATGGCATAAATACTTGCCATAAACCCTCAATCTTCAACACAAGACCAATTATTTCACGTTTTGAGAGTTACCAGTAACCAGTACAGCTTCTTAACTGGTTTAACAGCTTATACAAATGCTGACAAATAAGCATTAACCGTTAATAAAGACGCAAAAGGTTCATTCATAAATATGTCTTGATGATTCAGAATAAATCCCTCTGGAAAAGACTTGGTACTCTACAGATCTTTTTCATAATGAGCAACATGGTGCACTAAAAGAAGTCGATAGTGCTAAAACATAAAATACACGAATCCTTTAAGATCCAGCATAAATCGATTCACAGAGCAGCAAGTGATGGAGAAACCTTGTGTTTAGTATGGTGCGATAAAAGGGAGTGCGCATGAACTGACATGCAAAGACACACACCTCAGTGTGGTTGCCTTGTTTGCTGTAGATGGCAGACAACAAGCGGTAACATTCAATGCAGTTGCTGGTCTTTGAAATGATGCCCAGGGTCATTTTCTCTGCCTCCGTAGAGCGACCTGCCATGGCTAAAACCTGCGCCTGTGGAGGCAACGAGATGGGAAGAGACAAACGAGTTGAAAAAAAAGGAGGGAGGGAATGAAAGAGCAGCCAGAGAGTAACCTGAGAGGTCCTGGCCTTTGTTTTTCAAGGCGGTGATGTGAATCACAGTGAAAGGTCTGTGGAGACTCAATTAGGCTGATGTTATACGCTTTGAAATAACCGGTTTCAAAGATCAAGTCATGCCAATGCTTACAACAAACACAACACAGCAGTGTGAAGTAAAACCTCAGTTCATTTTCTCCACAGGGAAATAGATTTTTAAAAGTAACTGCTTGAAAAAGTGAGATTTGAGGTTATTATTGACTGATTGTGTGCGCCTTCGTTGATCTGTCTGTGATATTCCACTTTTTTTTCTAGAAAAGGTTGTGCTGAACAGCAGAATTCACCTATCCCCATATAGAAATCTGATATATGGAAATATATGCAAACAGCTCACATGACTTACAAGTTCATATTTGGATTTGGCATATATAAAATATGTCATATACGCAACATATACAGGGTGGGCCATTAATATGGATACACCTTAATAAAATGAGAATGGTTGGTGATATTAACGTTCTGTTTGTGGCACATTAGTATATGTGAGCAAGATGGGTGGTGACCATAGTGGCTATTTTGAAGTCGGCCATCTTGGATACAACTTTTGCTTTTTTTGATAGGAAGAGTGTCATTTGACACATCAAACTTATTGGGAATTTCACAAGAAAAACAATGGTATAGTGGGCTCCACCCACTCGCTATATTTACTGCATATTTTTAAATTCTTCAGATTTGACTGTATAACTTGCAGTGCATCATGGGATTGTAGTCCCTTGCCTCATTAAAGCCACCAAAAAGCTGGCTGGCTTCTTTGGATCAGTTTGGTTAGTCGGTGGCTTATATTATGCCTCTTTATTAAAGACTTTCCTGTCCACATGGTAAAAAGCACTGCCAAAACCAGCACCACCAAACATTTCAAATATAAACATACTGTCCCTGCTGAAAAATCCAGCTTAAACCAGCCTAGGCTGGTTGGCTGGTTGACTGGTTTTAGCTGGTTGACCAGCCTGGTTTTAGAGGGGTTTTGGCCATTTCCAGGCTGGTTTCCAGCCATTTCTAGCCTGGTCTTAGCTGGTCAGGTTGGAAAATGACCGGCCAAATCCAGCTAAAACCAGCTTGACCAGCCTGGTTTAAGCTAGATATAGCTTTTTTTGGCTGGACTCCCAGCTTGTCTAGGCTGGTCAAGCTGGTTTTAGATGATCATCTCCCATTCTGACCAGCTAAGACCAGGTAGGAAATGGCTGGAAACCAGCCTGGAAGTGGCCAAAACCCCTCTAAAACCAGGCTGGTCGACCAGCTAAAACCAGCCAACCAGCTTAGACTGGTTTAGGCTGGATTTTTCAGCAGGGGTATCTGTTCAAATATACTAGATATGTTCATATTTGGCCATTTATAAAAATAATAAATGTAAACATATATACATATTTGAAACTCCAATGGTTGGAAAAATAAGGAATTTTTTAATTATTTGTTGTCTAAATATGACATATTTTATATGTGAAACCCAAATATGAACATATATTGCATATATTTCCATATGTCAGATTTCAATGTGGATCGGAGTGCTGTAACAAACAAAGTCAAACCAAAATATACAATGATCTCCACCCACTCGCTATATTTATTTTTTATTTATTTTTACATTCTACAGATTTACATTTGATTGTATTGTTTGCTTCGCATCACTGGATTGTAGTCCTTTCAAAGCCATCAAGGAGCTGGCTGGCTTCTTTGACTTCTTAGCTTGGTTCGTGGCTTACATTACACTGCCAAAAGCAGCACCACTAAACATGTCAAATATATACATACTGTATCTGTTCAAATATACTAGATATATAAACATGTATATAACATTATAGCTAATACATTTAAGTATATATGTACATATTTAAAACTCAAATGGTTAAAAAAATATATGAAATGGCAATATTTTGCAATATTTCTAAATATATGTTGTCTTTATATGACAGGTGTTCAACCCTGTTCCTGGAGCTCTACCTTCCTGCAGATTTAAGTTGCAACCCATATCAAACACACCTGTCTGTGATTATCAAGTGCTGTTCGGGTGTGTTGGATTGGGATTGGAGCTGAACTGTGCAGGATGGTAGATTTCCAGGAACAGGCTTGAGCACCACTGATGTTTGACATATATTGCCAGCATTGCTATATTTGACACATACTGTCAGAACCAGCATCGCAAAAAAAAAGCGGACGCACTGTTATGAAAACATCGAAAATAACCGGATAAACTGGAAAAAGATTAAGATATGAAGTGATGGGATGTTTTTTTTAGGCTAACGTTTGAGTGTAATCTCACCAGGGCTAGCCAGATATCTGTGCTGTCAGGCTGCAGTGTGGACGCCTCTCTGTAAACCTCCAGAGCCTCCTCATATCTACCTGTGTTGTAGTATAAAGCACCCAGAGGAGTCAGGATATCCACTTTACGGACCACTTGCAGGGCCCTGTGTGAGACACACACACACACACACACACACACACACACACACACACACACACACACACACACACACACACACACACACACACACACACACACACACACACACACACACACACACACACACATACACACACACGCATGCACGCACACCTGTGGTTTAGTTCACAGGTGTGTAAGCTGGATACACTGTATAAACTATTCAGTTTCATTTGATCTCGTTTTACCTTTTGTACCACAGCTCTGCCTCTTTATTATCATTGGATGAGCGGAGAAGACGACCCAGGTTCACCATGGCAACATAATGAGCTGGCTTGAGACGCACAGCTTCCTGGTAATGAAAGGCCGCACGATCCCCACGACCTAAAATGGGGATAAATGACATAATGCATGTATATACATGCATTATATATATATTCATATATATACATATATATATACATGTATATACAGTTGAAGTCAGAATTATTAGCCCCCTGTTTCATTTTTTCCCAATTTGTGTTTAACGGAGTGAAGATTTTTTTATCAACACATTTCTCATCATAATCGTTTAAAAAACTCTTTCTAATAACGGATTTATTTTATGTTTGCCATGATGACAGTAAATAATATTTGACTATATATATTTTTTAAGACATTTATACAGCCTAAAGTGACATTTAAAGGCTTAGCTAGGTTAATTAGGTTAACTAGGCAGGTTAGGGGGTAATTAGGCAAGTTATTGTATAACGATGGTTTGTTCTGTTGACTATCAAAAAAGAATTAGCTTAAAGGGGCAAATAATTTTGTCCGTAAAATGGTGTTTAAAAAATTAAAAACTGCTTTTATTCTAGCCGAAATAAAACAAATAAGACTTTCTCCAGAGGAAAAAATATTATCAGACATACTGTGAAAATTTCTTTGCTCTGTTAAACATCATTTGGAAAATATTTAAAAAAGAAAAAAAAATCAAAGGTGGGCTAATAATTCTGACTTAAACTGTATAATCAACCATTGAAATTACAAATAAGTACACATATCTGTTTAAATATGATCTATACGGCCATATATGAACACATTCATACAATTATAGAGCATATATGAACATATTTTTAATTCCAATGGTTAAAACAAAAAAATAAACAACAATTTTTGCAATATTTTACATATTTAAAATCCAACTATGAAATTGTATGTCATATGTTATTTGCATATATTGCCATGTATCAATTTTATATGTGGGACCTGGCGACTTCTACCTGGCTCTGACCTCTGCACACTACACGTAACATTCAAGAAACCGAACATGACGCAAAACCCTATTAAAGCCACAGTAATGTGTTTTTGTTTGTTAGTTCATTTACTTTCAAGAACTTTAAGCGACAATTTATTTACCTGTGTCCACCAGGAACACGCCATAGTTGTTATGTAGGTCAGAACTTTCAGGACAGTTCTCAATACCCTTGGTATAAATCTCATTCGCTTCTTTTGAGTGTCCCTACACACACACAAAAAAAAGTATAACAGGGTAAACATCAGCGTAAAAGGCTATGAGGTGTCTAACAATCACTTCACATGAGTGTCATTTATCGAAACAAGAACAGAGAACAAGACCTGGTCAGCATATAGAGAGGCGAGACTGGAGTACGCATCTGCGAAATGAGGGCCGAACCGAATCGATTCTTTCAGCATGCGCTCCGCCTCTTCCTCTTTCCCCTGAGATCTGGAAAACAACATCATCATCATCATCTTCTTCCTCATAATGTACTTGGGTAGCTGACAAATAGCCTTTTTGAACAGCACCATTTTTCAAAATAATAGTCATAATTAAATAGTTGGAGTTCTGATGTTTGCGAAAGTGGTCACTGTAATCGTAAAAATCTCTTATATTGTGACATAGACACACATATACTGGCTGAGTCTTAAATTTAAAGCAGTGGCACGAAAATAAGTTCAGTGAACCACTACATCACACAATATTTTTCATCCGTTCTACCACCGAGACATGCTTGGGTGTCTGCCAGCCTTGCGCACAGAAGCAGAGTGTTCACAGATTCGGGCACGGCTGTGATATTGTGGTGGAGAGAGTGTGTGTATTTTACTTGAGGAGGTTTCCCAGGTTGAAGAGGGCTCTGTTGTGTTGAGGGTTAATGTCCAGCGCTCTCCTGTAATAAACCTCAGCCTCCTCCGCCTGGTGAGTCAATGTGCCGAGATTATTCAGAGCACTGGCATGGCGAGGGTACAGTCTACACAAAACATAGAGGAGGCTGTTAGGATTTACATGAGGATTAGGATTAGGATAACAAATAGCAAAAAAACAATACCCACAATACAACAACAACATAAAAAAATGCAGATTTATTTTTTTTTACAAATATTAAGCATTAATAAGGGATTATAAAAATATATATTAATATTGGCCACACTTTTTTTTAAGGGATACAATTCTCAGTACACTGAAAAAAAATATTCAATGGATTTACTCAAACCCTTTATAGGCTGAATTTAAACAAATTAAGCTGAACATTGCTAAATTTTATTTGTTTGTTTAAATTCAGCCCGTATAAATAGCTTTCAACCACTTAAAAAATCCAATGAATCATTATTTACGGTTTACTAACATAGCATTAACTATGACTTTTAGCTCTGCTGCTAAATTTAAACTGCTAATTTGCAGCTTATTGATAGTGATTAAGGTAGTAGTTGGGTTTAGGTATTGGGTAGGGGTGTAGAATAAGACTGTGCAGAATATGTTCTTATTAATTAGTAATAAAGAGCCAAAATCCTAATAATAGGCAGGTAATAAACCACTAGTTATAGTGAAAATTGCTCCCTTTTCTTAAGTGTTGCGTTAATATTTTTAAACAAGAGTTATAATCATAGTTCATGTTAATTATAAATGTATGAAAAAAAACATAGGTGTTAAGTTATTTTCTCTAAATATTTTGTTTAGCATCACGTACACGGATTTACAGTACCTGAGGGCTGTTTTATAGTGGTAAATGGCTTCTTGGTTTCGCCCTTTGTCCTTCAGGAAATTGGCATAGTTGTAATGTACTTTAGCATTGTGAGGTAAAGTCTGAATGCCAGACCTGATGGAGGGAGAAGGGAACAGAAGAAAATGCTTTATCTATTCGCCATTTAACGACAAAAAATTGCAGGCAAATATTATGCTACAGTCAATTGGCTGTTCGTAAAGTGCGTTTTCAGTCTTACCATCCAAATTACACAATCATGTGTCAGAAATTATTAATTTTTCTGTGTATATTTTAATTACATTTATATTTACATATTAGATTTAAATAATTAATTAAATAATTAATTTCCTCCTGAAATGAATCAAAAAGTTTCATCAACATTTGCAAACACTAAACTTCCCAGATTCATTCATTCATTTTCTTTTCATCTTAGTCCCTTGATTAATATTTATATTAATATATTAACCTATCTAGCATATGTTTTACGCAGTGGATGCCCTTTCAGCCGCAACCCATCACTAGAAAACACACACTCATTCACACACATACATAATTGTGGGGGGAAGCCAGAGCACCCAGAGGAAGCCCATGCGAACTCGGAGAGAACATGCAAACTCCACACAGAAAGGCCAACTGAAGGTCGAACCAGCGACCTTCTTGCTGTGAGGTGATCGTGCTACCCACTGCGCCACCGTGACACCCTCAACTTCCCAGATTTGAAAAATAAATAAATAGATCTGTCTGAATAACTTAATTCCTTATAAAACTATGTAAATCCTCCTGATGAAGCTTCCAATATGTAAAAACTAATTAACCTGGCTTTTATTCTATATATTCAGATTTTTATGCCAAAAATGTATGCAAATTAGTGCACTTTACAAACTTGCAATACAAAAATAAATTGTGAATTCTTTATGTAATTATTTTGCTTCTTTTAGAATAGATATACATCCATCCAACATCTAAAAACACTCAGTAGTATAATAGCATCTGAAGCAGCCTATTCAAGGATCAGCTCTCTCTAAACCCTGCCTTCACAAAAGCCTACTCAGCTCTGATTGGTCCGCTCAAGGCCCAGTCTGTTGTGATTGGTCTACCACCTACATTATGTGTGTTACGATTATCAGCTGGAGTGCAAATTAAGCTCTTTACAGAGCACTCCAGCTTATCTGTATGCTATCTGTTATTTACATGGACTACGACTGCCATTAGGCTTTGCGCCAATCAACACCTGCTACAGCTGTTAACAATCTGGACTGACACACACACAGCTGAATATCATTTATTTACACTTATTATACAACCTATATAAACTCCATTCTCATGCGCACCTATAGCTGAGTCTCAATGGCGGATTTAGGCATGGGCAATACAGGCGATCGCCCATATTGCTGGGGGCGGCAACTCAATTGTCAATTGGCGGCATGATCATGGTCAGCTTGCTCCAGTACTGCTGAGTCTTGCTCATTATAAACTTAACCCAACCCTCATAGGAAACATGGACATTTTTAGATGTCAAAAGACCCTGTTAAGTATGCTTTTTAAACATTTTGATTTACAGGGACTTGATGTATGTTCCAATAAACCGACTTAATATGCTACAACTAAGTCATACCCTTGTCATTATACAACTTCATGTACCTATAAACCACATAAACCTATACACACACACACCTGAACAGGGCTTCTCTGGAGAGCCAGATCTCATTCTGTTGGACGGTTTTCCAGGAGAACAGGAGGAGGACGACCAGCATGGACACGGTCAGAGCAGCTGCTCCCCATCGACTGACCACCGAATACAGTCTGTTCAGCCCGTGGACCACCAGAATACAGTAACCCATACTGGACACACACACAAAGACACTGCTGTTATGGAAAAGTCCTCTGTAATGTGAGCATTGCTGCACAGACGGATGAACTCAGCCAGATTTAAACAGGCCTTAGTGTATATTCTACAGCTAATGTAGTGTGGAAAATACTGTAGCTGGAAAATGTAAGCTACGATGCTTTTTACAGACAGCTAAAGAACTCATTTAGACGCCTAAAGATGGTTATTGCTAAATGGGAAAATGTCAATTACAGTACATACGTGCTCTTTAGGATTTACATGCAGATATGAAATATTTCCTAGGGGCAGACAGTGAACTCTGGTGAAAAACACTGGTGGGATGCCCTTGGAATGTTATGCATATTTTCAAAGATGTAATTAAAAATTCAGATTACGACTGGCAACGTATGACTCTTATGTAAGTAACTTGAATATCCCTCATGCATGCACTAATGCTAAGTGACTGACTCTTAATAGGGAATGGAGAATGGTAGGAGAAATTTTCCAGCATTAATTCAGGAAAATATTACTAAATAATATTTATTTGGATACAATATTAAATAATATATAAAAAGCCAATACTGTTTTTGATAAATAATAAAATTATTGAAAACAATATAAAAATATACACTTTATTAGGTACACCTAATATTTTATATTTAATTTAAATATTTTTATATTTTTATTTAATTGGGGGGGGGTTGTTGTTGTTGTTGTTGCGCGCATACTGAAGAGCGGTGTTGACGCGCGCGTTCTGATCAGCTGTGTTGTCGCGCGCGTACTCAAGAGCGGTGTTGTCGCGCGCCTACTGAAGGGCGGGATCGAGGGTGTGCCGCGTCCCGGGGGCACTTTTGATCATTTTGGAAGGGCACTTTCTATCCAAGACTAAAAAGGGCATGTGCACTACACAGGTTGAGCCCTATGTGTGCACGTGCCTGACCTTACTAGTACCTGGCAGAACTGCCTTAACCCTTCGTGGCGTAGATTCAACAAGGTACTGAAAATATTCCTCTGAGATTTTGCTCCATATTGACATGATAGCATCATGTCGTTGCTGCAGATTTGTCGGCTGCACATCCATGATGCAAATCTCCCGTTCCACTGCATCCCAAAGGTGCTCAATTGGATTGAGTTCTGGTGACTGTGGAGGCCATTTGGGTACAGTGAACTCATTGTGATGTTCAAGACAATAGTCTGATATGATTCATGCTTTATCACATGGCGTGTAATCCTGCTGGAAGTAGCCATCAGAAGATGGGTACACTGTGGTCATAAAGGGATGGAGATGGTCTGCAGCAATACTCAGGTAGGCGGTGGCGTTGACACAATGCTCAGTTGGCACTAATGGTGCCAAAGTGGGCCAAGAAAATATCCCCAACACCATTACACTACCAACACCAGCTTGACCTCTGGAGACAAAGCAGGATGGATTCCGACCCTACCATCCGAATGTCGCAGCATAAATCGAGACTCATCAGACCAGGCAACGTTTTTCCAATCTTCTACTGTCCAATTTTGGTGAGCCTGGGAAAATTGTAGCCTTAGTTTTCTTCTCTTAGCTGACATGACTGGCACCCTGTGTGGTCTTTTGCTACTGTAGCCCATCCATCTCAGGGTTGGACATGTTGTGCATTCAGATATGCTCTTCTGCATACCTTGGTTGTAACAAATGGTTATTTGAGTAACTCAGAACCGGTCTGGCCATTCACCTCTGGCATCAGCAAGGCATAACAAGCAGTTGGACAGGTGTACCTAATAAAGTGGCCAGTGAGTTTATATCAGCTAATAATAAAAAATGTTATTTATAAGAATTTATACTTCTATATGTAATTTACAATTTTTTTTTTACAAAACTTTTGTCAATTGTCAATTAATTATTAATTAATTGTCAATTAATAAAAGTGAAATTTTTGTGCGATTTTACTTTTTTTTTAATTTACTAGGATTTTTTCAAATAATAACAACGTATTATTATTGACCAATTAATAATGCTAAAGTTAAAATTTACAGAACGCATAAAAATGTAAGAATTCAATAACTATTATATTATATATAATACAACAACGTAAATTTTGGTAAGATAATACATTTTTTGTCAATAATGTAATATCCACCATGTAAATACAGCATTATTAAACTGCACTGCAGGCACAAACACAAAAAACAGCTTAACACTACGCTCTCCACCACATCTGTGAATTATATTTGTCTTGAGAAGGACAAAACACCCTCAATCGTTTATCATCAGGAAAGAGACTGGATCATCTCCCACGTTTATCTTCAGACACAGTGGAAAAGGTCAGAAGCGGCTGAAGTCAAACACAATACCATCAATCTCCCACACAGACAATATTACAGTGCATACCAGTAATAATAATAAATAAAATAAAAAAATTCAGGAAGGAGTGAGTTATATCAAATGACAAATTCTCTGAAAATATTTGGTTCACGCATTGTGTTACTTATTCAGCGCTGGGGTGTTTTTGTAGCTTCAATTTCAATCTTATTTCAGTCTCTCTCTTTTTGCTTTCGCTTTCTGTCTTTCTCACAGGAAACGCATATTTGGAAGCTGACACCTCCCTTTCCCTGTCAACACACACACACACACACACACACATACACTTCTGAACATTCACTCTTCGAATTATTATTTTTTGTCATGTTACCTGAAGATACACCAGTTCAACTACAGTTTTACTGAAGAGAATGTGAGTGTGCTTGCCTAGGCAAAACTTCATCCACAATGCTAAGGCGTTGTTTGTCTGGTAGCTAAAATATGCAGTGTTTTTTTTTTTTGGTGGGGGGGGGGTGATATTTTGGAATCATAACAAAGTTGTGGACGCTCCTTCTAAATATGTCAACAGGAGAGTTTTGCTTATTTTACCTTGAATATAAACTCACCAGTTTGCATTGTAAATGATTTGTACTTTGACTGAATTAAGGTAACTACATCCTTTTCATTGCAGCATTATAAAAAGCTCCCCTACAAGATTTGATGGTATCTGTTGCATAGCTGGTGCAGGGCAATCTTTAATACTTAATAATAATAGCCAACTATCATGTTTCAACTCAAATCTAAAGAGTAAACTTTGTTGGGACAAACTTAAATGCTGGCTTCGGAAACCTTTCCTCAATGTTTGAAAGCTTTGCTGTATGTTTAAGCTTAGGGTGAAGTTTAAAAATACATCTATTTTTTGCACAATTCTTCCATTTTTTATGACATTGCTAGCACGATTTGGCTTATTGCTACCATGTTTTTAGCAGATGGCTAACATGCTTTACCATGGTGCTAACAAAAATTTAGATTTACCAGCATGTTTTAACTATGCCAACCTTGTTGTTAGCATGTTAAACATGTTTCATAGCATGAATTTGCATCTTACTGGCATGGTTCTAGCATGTTTTAATGTTTGCTAGCATGAGTTTGCATCTCACTACCATGGTTCTAGCATGTTTTATTGTTTGTTAGCATGAATTTGCATCTTACTGGCAAGTTTCTAGCATGTTTTAATGTTTTCAAGCATGAATTAGCATCTTAATGGCAGTATTCTAGCATGTTTTAATGTTTTCAAGCATGAATTAGCATCTTAATGGCAGTATTCTAGCATGTTTTAATGTTTTCAAGCATGAATTTGCATCTCACTACCATGGTTCTAGCATGTTTTATTGTTTGTTAGCATGAATTTGCATCTCACTACCATGGTTCTAGCATGTTTTATTGTTTGTTAGCATGAATTTGCATCTCACTACCATGGTTCTAGCATGTTTTATTGTTTGTTAGCATGAATTAGCATCTTACTGGCAGTATTCTAGCATGTTTTAATGTTTTTAAGCATGAATTAGCATCTTAATGGCAGTATTCTAGCATGTTTTAATGTTTTCAAGCATGAATTTGCTTTTTACTTTTAAGGTTAATGTTTTCAAGCATGAATTAGCATCTTACTGGCAGTATTCTAGCATGTTTTAATGTTTTCAAGCATGAATTAGCATCTTAATGGCAGTATTCTAGCATGTTTTAATGTTTGCAAGCATGAATTTGCTTTTTACTTTTAAGGTTAATGTTTTCAAGCATGAATTTGCATCTTACTGGCAGTATTCTAGCATGTTTTAATGTTTTCAAGCATGAATTAGCATCTTAATGGCAGTATTCTAGCATGTTTTAATGTTTGCAAGCATGAATTTGCTTTTTACTTTTAAGGTTAATGTTTGCTAGCATGAATTAGCATCTAACTTGCAAGATTCTAGTATGTTTTATTGTTTGCTACCATGAATTAGCATCTTACTGGCATAGTTCTAGCATGCTTTAATGTTTGTTAGCATGAATTTGCATCTTACTGGCAAGATTCTAGCATGATTTAATGTTTGCAAGCATGAATTTGCTTTTTATTTTTAGGGTTATTGTTTGGCTAGCATGAATTAGCATCTTACTGGCAAGGTTCTAACATGTTTTGATGTTTACAAGCATGAATTTGCGTCTTACTGGCATTTATCTAGCATGTTTTAACACTATGCTGACCAGTTTCTAACATAACATGTTTATTTTTCTGGCAAGATAATCAGTCTACTGGCAGTCAAAACCTTATTTTACTTGTATTATTTGTATTACAATCACAAGTACAAGTCAATATAACTGTGCTAATGTACAAATTGATTGTACATTACGTTACAGCTTACATAAAACAGAATTTCAAGATGAAACGGATGCATATTGAGCCTTCTATGTGAATTAGCTGGACAATGCTCTTAATCTTCACAAAATAATGTTTATAGATCTCATATAATCTTATATATATGCACTTCTCTTCGAATTTCAGTGTTTGAAGGGATATTTTTACGCGGTTAACCGGTGTACAACCAATAACAAAGATGCACACAGTTTGTTTTTCCTCCAAAGACACAAATAAAGTGAATCTGAAGTCTGCGAGTCCCTCACATTCCTGCCATAGCTCTGCACTGATGCTGTGTATGTGCGAGTGTGTAAGTGTGTATAAACGGTCTGGCCTCCGAGCCGCAGTGCCGCCCTCACGTGTCTGATTACCACTGCTGTTCGGCTTCAGCAAAGAAAGCACTACTAATATTTACCCTGCATGCACAGAGAACAGCCACCTAAATGCCAAGATAAGTGCTCATCTGATCCAAACACAGCCCATTAAATTCCCCGAGCACAAACCGCTCATTACTCATAACTGAGTGTACTCAGGGATGTAATGCGGTGTGTGCTCATATTCATGTGTGTGTATTGGGGCATCTGTCGGGTCACTGCTACACCCCGCTGCTAATAAGATAATTTCTGAACAATCTCTATTAAACGCCTCACCTCGTTGTTCAAATTTCGGCTTAATCGTGTGAGTGCAAAACACACATGCATGCACTTTTATAACAGATCAGTGGTGCATTATGGGAGGCAGGGCTCAAGGCAGATTATGCAGTGTTATCAGTGGTCTGTGATTCCAGAAGCGGGGCAAAAGAGTGAGAAAAATGAGGGTTGAATTCATAAGGCAGAGCGAGGACTCTGAAAAAGGAAAATTTTCTCTGGCTGTCGCAATATATTTTCACAGTTGCACACACACACATACATACACACACACACACACACAAACCTGGGCATGTAGAGAACTCTTTCCGCCACCACAAATCCCACGCGGAAGAACAGATTACTGGCTGGGATGAAGGGAAAGACCAGGAACAGCAGGCCCACCAACACCTCCTTCCCTTTCATCTTCTGCACAAGGAGAGATAGATAGAGAGAGAGGAAAAAGAGAGACAGATGAAAAGAGAAACCAGAGGCTGTTTGCTGTAAGAGAAACAAGGTTGAAACAAAACCCAGAGTTTGCTACATTTCTACGCAGCACCTGCAGATACAGTTATATTTTAGAAGTGTAATGGCACTTGGCAATGGGACTGGAGCTTCAAGCCTTAGACCGGGCCACTTCAGTTCACGACAAGCTATTTTAAACAACACAACAGTTAACACAATGTAATGTTTAACAGTATTAAAATCTATTTTCTGTAAGAGTCAATGCTCATAAATGAAAAAATACCAAATAAATACAAATATATATTAAGTTACATGTATAAAATAAAGATTAAAATCAAATGTATTGAATTTTCTATTGATACTATCATGTCTTTTTCAAGGAAACAGCTGCTTTATACCTTTAAATATTTTTCAGAAATATGAGAACATTAAAGGGTAGTTAAATGTTAATCTCGTCGGTCATCAATCTGGCAACCTGTGCTTGGATTTGTTTTAAACCAGGAGTGCAATACCTAGTTCAACCATCGGGTGTCAAACTTACATACTGCACCTTTAAAACAACTCAAAATGTTTTTTTTTCTCGAAATTCGATGATGTTAGTAAATAAAAATCAAACCTGATCCAATTTTTAAAAAATATATTTCACCTTTTTTATGATATTTCAGACAGAAAAGCATTGGGAACAGAGAGAGGGGAGGGATCGGCAAAGGACCTTGAGCTGGGAATCGAACTCGGGTCGCTGTGAGCACGTCGGAGCTATATGTCATAATTTTTTTTTTTTTTAACGAATGAAAGTTTCTGAAGGCTGTATGTATTTTAGCTTGACACAAGGGGTTCGTTCTTCGTATCTCGCTCAAATGATCTAAGATGATTTGGCAGATCCTGAATGTTTTAATCTTGATAACTGATCTCTGGCCAATTTGGTTCTTCAAACAAGTTTGCGAATCAGATTAAAATGTCAGGATGAACTAATCTGAAATCGCTGCGTGTGTTGTAAAGGACAGATCTAATGATCCTTGAAATCAGGATCAGCAATGCAACGATTGGATGACGACACAGCAGCGTAATGACATCATCTGATTAATATTCAATTATCCATGTGAGCAAAATTATATAAAATTCACAGTAAACGGTTTGTTAAATATGATACGCAATAACTTTCCACCTTTGTTGTGGGCTGCAGGCTTTACACTTTCATGTGTCAAGCAGATTTAGCAATTTATTTCACTTTACATTTAGAGCAGATTTTCTTAACTATGGTAGCCTAGGCCTCAATTAGTTTCTTAATCGGCCTGAGGAATTTAAATTAATTGTGCATCAAAAAGCATTTTGATATAGGTAAAGGCGTCTGCAACTTTTGCTAAGCGTCAAATCACCGCCATATTACTGGTCAAAACATGATTATCATACAGAAATTGTACTAAAGCTGGATCAGTACGTTAGTACGCATCTGTATCAAAAAATCCATATTAATAAATATCTGTTTGATCCCCTTGGGGAGAGAACACTCCGTTTTTGTACATTTATTTTGGAGTGCAGATTGCATAAGTTTTATTTATATATTTTTCAACGTATTTGTTTATAAACATAAATATTATTAATTATTTAATTTTATATGAATAATTATTATCTTTGCTTGAAATGAGCCGATCTAATCCTGTTTATATGAAATGAACCTGCTCCCGAGCAGGTTTGAGCTGCTAGAACTCTTTCTATGAGAACAACTTTCAGATGAGTTTTGAAGAACATCATGATCACCAGCGATCTAGTAGCTGCAGATCACTAAAGGACTACAAATCCACCGTTTATAGACTACATATTCAGTCATGCAACACACACACCTGCTCCAAGTCTCAACTGATTAGACTCCCTCAGCTGATGCTCCTTCTGGACTGATTACTGCACTACATAAACATCACAGAAACACACACTGTTGTTGAGTCTTGTCTACTGTTTTAGTGACACTTCAACCTGTCTTGTTTTCCCGTGTTTTTGATCCTCACCTTGTTCATTTCTTTAATCCCATTTGCTGCCTGCCTTGTGACCATCTACCTCTTATTTTGACTATGACTCTGGATTGCCCTAATTCATCTGTTTGCCCCTGTATTGACCACTGCTTGCCTGACCTCGCTAATAAACCTGCAAGTGGATCCGCACCTCTGTTGTCAGTGTCCCATCCCCTGGTTACAGAAACGATCCTGGATCATGTCAAATCGTCAATATCCAAATCCAGCTAATTGAGTAATCCGCATACGAACAACGGACCCAAGGTGATGTTTGTACCAAAATCTCAAATGTGTACATGTTTCTGAAAAGATGACACAAATAATCTGAGATAAAATAAGTTGAAAAATCTGGATGAATAAGCCAAAACATGAGGAACGGCAATAGCATTGATTAGCAAGCAACAGAAAAGAAACAAGCACAAACCTCCACAACAATCAGACTTCAGGACACTTCATTTACAGCCCGGGCAATAATCGCACTTCTAAAATCGACTCACTACACAGCTCCAATGTCTTTATTACTGTTCTCTGAGAGCGTATCCTTTGAAATATGAGTTAGTTGTGTTTTTATCGACGTATAAGTTCATTAAATATGACGGCGGAGGACTGAAGGGTCAATACACAGATATGAATTGGATGAGAAACCTGCGCCGGAATGAGAAAGGTTGAGGAGGAATGAAATCATAACTGCATCACGCTTCATTTGCCGCCAATACACTCATACAAAATAAACAATAGAACCATTATCTAGAGTTTCACTCTCACATCCACCGACAGGATATGAATGTTTTAATATTGATTTCTGCTTTCCAGTCCATGAGGAACATTAATTAACTTCATAATCAGCGACATCCTGACATGCAATAAGAGTGTGTGGCGAAATAAACGAAGCGCTCATATAAAAATGTGCTGATAACATTCATTCTCGCTGTCTCGACTGTCTCTCTGTCTGCCTGTGTGTTTTTGCATGAGATAATTAGCCTAGTAAACATTCCTGAGGAGACAGATTGGAAAGTCATTAGGGTGAATCGCTGGCACTGAGCCTCTCGTGGCTGATTGGACAACGACTGCCAAGCCAATGATGAAGGTGGAGCCAAAGATGATCATGTGACAATTGCAGTAATAGGAGAAGCTTCGAGTTTCTGAAGTCTATTTGTGCTTGTGGTTTAGAAATGTAAACACTGACTAGATATCAGGTTTATATCACCCCAGATGACCTCAAGCAGATTCAAGTCAAGTCAAATATGCATCAGAGCATAGTATTTCGATAATATTATATAATGCGGTTAGACTTTACAATAAGGTTCCATTAATATTAATTAATGCATTTAATAACATGAACAATACATTTATTACAGTTTTAGGTCAATATTATTAACCTTAATTAATGACTAGAATGTCATTCATTGTTAGTTTTTTGTTAGATCACTAAGATGCTATTAAATACATCAATAATTAATGAAGCCGCAGGCAGCTACCTCTCTGCAACTCTCACATGGCACCCACTGAAGCTAAGCAGAGCTGTGCCCAGTCTGTACCTGGATGGGAGACCATATGGGGAAGCTAGGTTGCTGCTGAATGTGTTGTTAGTGAGACCAGCAGGGGGCGCTTAACCTGCGGTCTGTGTGTCTCCTAGTGCCCCAGTTTAGTGAAGGGGACTCTATGCTGCTCAGTGAGCTACGTCTTTTGGATGAGATATTGAAAAACTGAGGTCCTTACTCTCTGTGATCGCTAAAAATTCCTGCATGTTGTCCCAACACAAGTCGATTAAGTAAGGGTGACGCAGTGGGTAGCACAAATGCCTCACAGCAATAAGGTCGCTTGTTCGAGCCTCGGCTAGGCACCCACGCAAACACAGGGAGAACATGGAAACTCCACACAGAAATGCTTCCTGGCAGAGCCGGGACTCGAACCAGCAACCTTCTTGCGGTGAGGCAACAGTGCTAATCACTGAACCACCCTGCCACCCTCTAATTGAAACAATAAAGAAGACATTTTACTTGCATCTAAGAATCCTTCAACATATATTAAACCACTTTTGTAAATTGAATTAGATGCAGACACCCCAACGGGACATCCTTGCTTTGATATACTTATAAACAGCACTACGAAAATCCATATGCCCTTTTCACAATTCAAACAGGGATTGAAAGTGCACCAAACACAGGCTGAAAGAAGCAAATACCAGACAACAAGAGCCTCCAAGCTTATGTTTTTCTGGGAAATATTAGAGGGCTAAAGCTGGGTCATGAGAGTGATGCTAGCCATGGCATTATCCTTTGTTCCAGTCGCCATCTGTTGTCATGGCAGCACAAACGGGGGTCATCCGAGGGCCGTCCCAAAATGTCACTGGGCCAAAAACTGCATTCAGTGGCCCTCTAAAGAGTCGCACCTTTCCGTCAGCTATGCTCCTTCACCCCCTCAGACTTTACTTCCTTTCTTTCCTCTCACCTTGGATTATTTTGCGGTTTCTCAGATCCTTCATATCAGTTTTCCCTCCCTGAGGTGAGAAGAATATAGTTGTGTAACTCAAGCTTTTTGTTTGCAACAGAGAGAGAGGATGCATGCTGTATTGTTCATAAAAATGATATACAGTTAAAGTCAGAATTATTTGCCACCCTGAATTATTTTTTTCAGCAATTTCTGTTTAACGGAAAGAAGATTTTTTTTAAACACGTTTCTAATCATAATATTTCTAATAACTCAACTTTATTAACTGATTTAATTTATCTTTGCCATGATGACAGTAAATAATTTTTACTAGATTTTTTAAGACATTTCTATACAGCTTAAAGGGACATTTAAAGGCTTAATTGGGTTAAATAGGCAGGTTAGGGTAATTAGGCAAGTTATTGTATAATGATAATTTTATGTAGACAATCGGAAAAAAGTTGGATAATAATTTTGTCCTTAAAATGGTGTTTAAAAAATTAAAAACTGCTTTTATTCTAGCCGAAA